ACCCAGGATAGAGTGCAGTGGCGTCATCATAGCTCACTGCAACCTCAAACTCCTGGGCTCAAGTGATTCTTCTGCCTCAGCCTCCCAAGTAGGTGGGACTACAGGTGTGCACCACCACACCTGGATAATTTTTTAATTTTTTTTTGTAGAGATGGGGTCTTGTTTTTGCTCAGGCTAGTCTCAAGCTCCTGACCCTCAAGTGATCCTCCTGCCTCAGCTTCCCAAAGTGCTATGATTACCGGCATGAGCAACCACGCCTGGCCTTAATCATTCTTTTTAAGGCTCCATAGCATGCTTTTGCATGAATGACTATAATTTATTTAACTAGTTTCCCACTGTTAAACATTTAGGTCATTTCCAGTCTCTTGCCATTACAAATAATGTTGCAGTAAATAACCTTGTACGCATTTCATTTTGCCCCACATGTAAGTATGATCTATAGGGTAAATTTCTGAAGCAGGCATTATTGTGTCAGAGTGTGTGCTTTAAATGTGTTGTCAGACTGTTTTTCCTAGGTTCTATAATAGTTTTTGCTTCCACAGTATGTCTGTTTACTCACACTCTGGATGTCACAGGATATCAAACTTTTCAATTTTTGTCATTTTGGTTAAAAAAAAAATCTTACTATAGTTAAGTTGAACTATAGTTGAAAAGATACAACCTTTCTGTTTAATAACCCTTTAAGTGCACGTAAATTATTTTTATCTAATAATTTTAACAAAAATTAACTTCAATGTTAAATATGCAACATGGTTTTATAAAAAGAAACTTTGTGTAAACATACTGCTTAATGCAGTCAAAATATGGACTTCTGGGTTTTATTAGATTTTAGCTATTGTGTGCTATTTAGTTTTAATTGACATTCTCCCATTAAAATTTTCTAATTTAAACTTTCAAGTTTATATTACACACTGTTCCCACTTGGGGTTTAAGGTATTGTCCTTAGAGAAAGGAATGTATTAAGGATGGTGGTGCCACGAGCCCTGATGGCTATATATAGCAGAGTCCTGGGAAGTTGCTATATAGTTAAAACCATGTTCTTTACAAGTGTTATATTAATCAGTACTATATATTATGTGAGCAGTAGGACTCAGTGATTAAGTTATATTTTGTGAGGCCCTTAAATCAATGTATAGGCAACTTCTTTGGCTATAATGACATTTAAGTCTGTTGTGTTATTTTATTTATTTGTATATATTTTTGAGACAGGATCTTGCTCTGTTGCCAGGGCTAGAGTGCAGTGGCATGATCATAGCCCACTGCAACCTCAGACTCCTGTGCTCAAGTGATCCTCTGGCCTTGGCCTCCCAAAGTGGTGGGATTACACAGCCACTATGCCCAGCCAGTCTGTCATTTTATAATCTGGCCTCAAACTACTTATCTGCCTACTCTCTCATCACTCATTTCCTCAACTAGCCTTTGTTTCACTCATGTTTAACATCTTAATATTTCTGAATATTCATTGCTTGTGGCTTAGCACATGCTGTTCCTTCTCTCTAGAATTTTCTACCTCCCTTTTTCTTGGTATACATCAGGCCCAGCTCGGGTATCACCTTTATTTTCAAGTTGTGCATAGCTACTATAGTCAGAATTATTTGCCTTCTCTCATTCATCTTTGCTTTCTCAGCACCTAACATAGAACTTGATATACAGTAATAAATTAAAAGATTTAAGAGGTGTATGTAGTTTGCTTTGGAATTGTCCATCTACAGAATGTAAATAACTTTAGAAACTTTTGCCAGGTGTACCTAGTTATTTGTTCCTTTAGTTACCATTGATGAGAAAGATTTGCATCTTTTGCATGTGTTTTGATACTGGCTTGTGATAAAAAATTAATTTTATAAAGTTATTCTTTGTTTATACAGAGAATGTCCAAGCACACGGATGTAGAAGGAGACGTACTATTGGAACGAAAAGGTTGTGCCGGAGTGATAACACTTAACAGGCCAAAGTTCCTAAATGCACTGAATCTTAATATGATTCGGCAGATTTATCCACAGCTAAAGGTTTGTAATTTTCTTAAAGCAATAATGTGGATCCTTTTAAAAGTATATCATAATAGAACATTTCTGATATTTTCTCCCATAGAATCCTGGGACTCTCTGGGATCTGTGCCCAAGCTCCACTGATTGTTGAGTCCTCATTGCTTTCCCTGTATGGTTATCCTTGAGCACCGCTGGTGATGGGGAGTTCATTGCCTCCTGAGACAGCCCCTTCCACTTCTATATGATTTGCTCTGATTTGTTCACATGTTTCTTCTTGTGTTCTGCCACTCTTTGTTTCTCTGACCTTTCAGCCAGTGATATTGGCTCTGCTTCTTAGGGCATGAGCTGTACAAATCTAATCTGCTTCCACATTACAGCCTTTCGTTTGAAAACAGCTGTTTTTAAACTGCTTGGCCTGCCCTTTCTTAGAGAAGGCCATAAACTTTTCTAAGTGAACAGCTTGGGACGTTTGAAAAACATAGGACTTAAAGTCAGACTGTTTGGTTTGAAGCTTAGATTTCTACTTTATTAACTGTGTAGGCTGGGAAAGTTAATTTCCTCAGCTGTGAAATGGGAATGATGACATTTCACAGGACGGTTGTGAAGATTAAGTGACTAGTATATGTAAGTACCTAATACAGTCTGCCATGTAGGTGTTGAATAAATACTGGTTTACCACTGGACACCAGTTCTTTAATTCTTCATTTGGTGAGACTATCTTCCATCCTTGTGTTTTTGTTTGGGATACCTTATAGTATGTCCTAAAGTGTGATACATAGAAATAAGCCAAGTGTTGCAGATTCGAGTTGGACCAGAGTGGAAGAAAGTAGAAACTTCCATGTTAGAATAACATATATCTGTTAATGTAGTCCACTATTACATGAACCTTTTGGACTATCACATCTGTCCAGCTATATCTCTTCCCTGTGCATTCATATATTTATTCTGTAGCAAAGGTTGTGCATCCTTAATCTGAAGTGCTCTAAAATCCAAAACTCTTTAAATGCCAACATGACGCTTCAAATGGAATATTCTACACCTGACCTGATATGATGAATCTCAGTCAAAACACAGATGCACAAAACACAGTTTATTCAGCATCACCAAAGAAAAAATAAAATTACTTTCAGGCTATGTGTATAATGCATATATAAAACATAAAGGAATTTCATGTTTGGACTTGAGCCCCACCCCCAAGGTATCTTATTATACATATGCAAATATTCCAAAATTCAGAAATATCTGAAATCTGAAACACTTCTGGT